CCCCAAAACCCCAAAACCCCAAAACCCCACTTAACTGCAGAGGTTTGAAGTACTAAATATTGGTATTTCTATAGCCAGTCTTATCTTGGAAATAAATTAATACTAAATGACAAGGGGTTAGCGCCCTTTATTATGAATTTGGTATCTATTCGATCCTACTGATTTATACCCAACTTTAGGGGTACTCTTGGCTGAAGACTTAAAACTCATTTTACTACTTGCTTTGGTCGAACTTTTTGAGATTCCTCTTAAATACAGGGGCTTTGAAGGTTTAGAAACTGGTGACTTAACCTTGGTTCTTTGTTTATTTTAACTTTTCTGCAATATCAATCATAGCATCTCTATCTTTATCGCGGAAATAGTCGTACTTCCACAACTTGTATTTATCCAAATTTTTTGTGTTGGGTTGCTTAATATAGCTTTCATCTCTGAACAATTGAGCTATAGGGGAACTATTAGGGGTGCATCTTTATTTAAGAACAGAAAGAACATCTTTTGGTGTGATTTGGGTTATAATGCTTTAGAGGAATAACGGAGTTTTGGATATTGTTAATTGGTGAAATACTATTTGATATTTTAGAATAATTGTACAGCAATGATTATTTTAGTATACAATTAGTTTTTACAACATGGTTCCAATGTTGTAATGCACAACAGGAGAATGAAGCTTGATAATTGGGAGATAAATATATGAATTAGTACGCTAATTAAACCACCTGTGGTAAGGGAAATTAGCATTAATGCAACTGCTCAATACTGGAAATTATTCCAATAATTGTATGAATATTGAGAAATTTCCAGCAGATATCAGAATTTCATAAACTTACTATGGGAAGATGCTTGGAGTTTTTTAGGTAGCACAAAATTAAAATCTGGAGTGTTATCATCTTCTTCCTCAATCATTAATCACTCATTTCATCAAGTTCCACATTGGGCTCATTTCAGACAGTTCTTGTTTCTTAATTTTAAATATTTTCCTGAAGAAAATTCTTTTACTAGGGTTAGTAGAGACATCATCTTGGATTTTATTTCAGAATTTTTAGATTCACATTCTTCATGTGTAGACTTATTTTCATTTGTTGCTTCAGAAGTACTTGGCTTTATTACTGGCTCTTTAAAAAGTTCATAATGCTTAGACAAGAAATAGTATTCTCTTGAATCTGTCTGAAGATTTTTGAAAATATGCCTCTGATTTTTGCAACCTCCTTTATGAACACTAGTTGTAAATCTGACTGCTTCAGCTTGTCATCATGGATACGTTCCTGTATTGGAGCCATATTGGAATTCTGGAGCTTCAGGGTGATATGTTCAATGATCATATTCAGAATAAACAAACTTCTGTCCTCAGAAAGTTCATTCATCATATTTGAGTCTTGCCCAAATCTTCCAAAAGCAATGTCTCCAGGACACATTATTTGTTCATGAAGGTTAAAAATTCGTTAATACTCCAATTGGCATCTGCAACATGCTTAGAAATGACTCTTCCACGATAGTCTATATAAATGCCAGCTTTGGGACAAGTCATCCATTGCGATTGCTCTTCAGTATATAGAATATTACAGTGAATTCATCTTGACAATTTGTTTTTCTCCACTTTCATCAAATCATCTAATTTATGGGCATAGAGTTTAGACTGAAGGGAGTCCTTGGAGTCTTTAAACTCATCTAACTGGTCTAATGTCATCGAGTCTGCCAATTTCTTAACCAGATCTCTGCTTAAGCAGTTCATATCAATAGGCACTTTGACTATTTCTGATATATTATTGACAATGTATTCTATGCACTCGTCTGTAAGCCTTTTTATTATTAAAAACTCTGCAGAGATTAGAATCGGAATCACGTTCTGTTTGCTCAACCTTGGGTTTTTATTTTTAATGTAACTCATCAACCACTCGAATATTGTTACATCTCAGTGAATGCTTATGTCAATATCCTCTGCTGAATCTGTGCTTTTCAAATGTTTGTCAAAATATTTCATTCCTCGAAGAAGGCTGCTTTTTAGCTCAAAATTTTTGTTGATATTCTTTCTTTCATCAGTCACTTTAATAATAATAAGTTCATCACCAAGATTCTTCTTAGGCAGATAACTGGTAGGCGCACTATTTTCTTTAGGCTTTAGCCTGCTTTCAGTCATTCTATTTTCTTTATGAAGAGACTGCGAGATTAAAGTCTTAGGTTTGGCTAATTTGGGAGTGACTCCAGTATTGGAAGGAGACTTGCCTACCAAAGGATCTAACCTTGTATGTGCACCAAACCCTCTCCTTTGGTAAAGATAATCATTTCTCTTTCTCATATTTCCTGTTTAGTATTATTTATGAATTATTATTAAAAGTTCAATGGAATAAAACTTCGAAGGGGTTTTGGGGTTTTGGGGTTTTGGGGTTTTGGGG